CAGAAGGCACGCTGTGCATGGCGGCTGGGACAGCACTAGGTGGCTTCCCTTGTTGTTGTCGAGTCGGCCCCGACTCATAGCGACCCCTCCTTGGGTTTCCAAGGCAGTATCACTAGGGAAATAGATTGCCCAACCTTCCTTCCAAGGAGTGGCTGGTGGGTTTGAACCACCAGCCTTCTGGTTAGCAGTCAAGCGCCTTAGCCACTATGCTACCAGGGCTCCCAGTGGCTTCCCTAGCTGGAAGCTAACCCTGCAGGCATCTGACCCACCAACAGCAAGGGAACGTCTGCCCGTCTCCTGCTGAAAGCCAACACCCTCATCACCCCGCAGCAGGCTTCTCCATCGTTCCCGCCCCAGTCCATGTCCTAACCTCCTGTCAAATCTCCCAGCAACTCTTTGGCCTCGGGTTCAGGCCCCCACATTTCAATTGCACTAAGGAAGGGCTGGTTGGGCAATCCTACTTCCGTAGTGATACTGCCTTGGAAACCCAAGGAGGGGTCGCTATGAGTCGGGGGTGACTGGACGGAATAACAACAACAACAAGGAAGGGCTGAGTTCACGGTGAAACAACCGGAAGGAACGAGCCAAGCCTCACGAATTGTCAGGGGTGCTGTCAACGTCACAAACCTTTAAACATTTCAGGGTTGTTTCCCTAGTGGAATAAAGTGTGCCAGATAGAGGAGGCTAAACACACACACACACACACACACACACCCTACAGCAACCAGCAGTCCGCAGGCAGAGTTTCCGTACACGTTTGGAAGGCTTCGAGCATAAATGGGTTAAAAGGACACAGTGGCTTTGAGGGGAGGAGGCTGGCTGGCCCGAGCCCCCGATGGATGAGGGCGGCTGAGTGCACTTCCCGTCTGCATCCGTAAACGAAAGAGGGCCGTAAAAACAGACATTTTTATATTTACATCTTTACCATCGTTATTCCAAAGAGATCGCGTTGCCAAAAATGTGTTGTGAATTTTCTTAACGTGACAAACCTGGCAGCATTTTACAAAGACTTCAGAGCACTCTTACGAGACGTTTGGGTTTGGGGGAGTCATTCCTAAAGTATGACGCGGGCTGCTTGTGGTTTGAGGCTGGCGGGTCTGGAGGCTGTGTTCTCATCCACCATTTGGCAGAAAATTGCAACAGACAAGGAAGAAATTAGCTCGCAAAATGGAAAATGATTGCTCAGAGCTGGCTGCCAGAGACCTGGCCCCCTGATCTCTGTTTCTCCCGGCGTGGGGTGGGGGAGAAGGAGCTCTGGCGGCTCAGTGGTTAAAGCACTCGGCTCCAACCGAAATGTCGGCAGTTCAAACCCACAAGCCACTCCACGGGGGAAAAAATTAGGCAGTCGGCTTCTGCAAAGGTTACAGTTTTGGAGACCCTGTGGGGCAGTTCCACTCTGTCCTCTAGGTGCGCTGTGGGTCAGAATGGACTCCACGGCAGTGGGTGTGGTTTGGGCTTTGCTTCTGTGAAGATTGACAGCCTGGGAAACCCTGTGGGGCAGTTCCACT